CTGTTCACACAAATAATTATGAGACATATCTATGCCCAACCAATCACAGAGCTTGAGAACTAATCACGGGGTTTGTCAAACAAAGCACATGGTGTAGTCCTAAACGATAGCTGAGGATTCTGGGTAGTGTAGTGTCTTCTGCCATCCTAAACTCTGAAAAAATATTTGTTTCTCCGAATCGAAGGGGAAAAATACAAAAGCATTGCACACAATTTAAACCAATCAATGTTGTGTAATTAACAAGGATAATCTGGTATTTTTGAGTTGATGAGTAGTGCAGATATCACTGTAAAATCAATCGACGGTAAGGAGAATAGTTACTTCCGGGTGTAAAATCCTCCGTTATCCAATGGGAATGGACGCTCACATTGCCTTTAAACAGCCGCCGACATAAACGGATGCGGTGCTTCCATGAGCGTCAAATACCGCCGCCGATGGGAATACATTGCAATCAGTTGAAAGCTCTTTGAGTCCGTTTATGAAGCTGAAGGAGCCTCGGCGCGTCCCAACTGCACGCCACGGGACCCTGACCAAGCGTCGCTCCTGGACGTTTAGGGAGTGAGAGTGTGTTGATTATTAAGGTAATCCTGCTTTTAATTAATGTATTATTAATAATAATAATAATAATGCATTGATTTTATCAACCCACTCTCTTCAGTCTGCGTACAAATGACACGACTTTACACATTGGAAATGTGTGCAATAGATACGCAGAAGTCCGATTTTGCGTGCATATGATACACCAACCATTCCCATTGAGATCTGAGGCCGAGTTTTGCGTGCATATGATACGCCCAACCCGGTATCACAGCAAGACGTGAACATGTGACGATTTACCATGCTGGGAGACGTGAAGATGTCACGATTTCGTCCCTTCAAACGTGACAGTTACACGGTATTGTTAACATGGGCCAACCAGTAGAGAAATACCCGGAAATGCCAAGCAAATGCTCTACCATGACGGTCGGTTGTTATTGTCAATATTAATATAATAATGATTTTTTTTTAATAGTCACACTCGATTTCGCCAATTTTCTTGTTGCCCCAGCTGGTCGACACCTCTTTTAGCAGAAACAAAGGCTACATTAATGTATTAAATCAATGTTAATCCATGTGTGTGGAATTAACGGACGTGACGTTATGCGATTGCGTTGCCAGGCAACAGTTTGGGTTCATGTTAATTTACAAACTCTTCAACTAGAACCGTAGTTATATTTAAAAACATTTTAGAAGGCCTCACGAAATACTTTAATGTAAATTCAAATTTAAATGTGAAGGAATGTGTGTATTGTGGTGATTGACATTATTCACCCACGGATCTATGGGTTTATTGTTCCGCACGGACATTTGAGTTAACCGGACTTCCTGTTTCCGCCGGTCTTTGCTTCCCGGGTGTCATGATTGGAGTTTTGTGTGTTAAGTTTTGGATTGTTGTTTTCATTTTCCACCTTTTATTTTGAAATGTTTTCCTCCTTGTGTCTTGTCTGGTCCTTCTTCCTGTGTTTGCCTTCCTGTCTTTAGTTTCCCTGGTGTGTCTGATTGTCTCATTGTGTTCACCTGTTGCCCTTGTGTTTCTGCCTCCCTTACCCAGCTGTTTCTTGTCCCGTGATTACCCCTCTCTGTATTTAGTCTTGTCTTTCCCTGTGTTCCCCTGTCGGTTCATTGTTTGTCTTTCCCTTCACGTCACGCTCCATGTTTGTCCCTGAAGTTTTTGATCCTGGATTCTTTACTCGTGCTCCCCTGTTTTGGTAATGTTAAGTTTGTTTCTTGTTTTCTTTTGTCATCGGCTTTTGTAAAATAAAGCTCGCTTTTTGTTATCCCTTAAAACCCGCTTATCCTTTTTAATACTGCATTTGGGTCCTACCTTTTCCACGCATCGTATCAGAGTGTGTCTCTTTTGGGTCACATTGCCAGTCCCAAGCCCAGATAAAGAAGGAAGGTAGCAATTCCATCCCACATAACCTTTTTTTTTAATTAAATGTGACTAATTCTTTAACAATACTGGACAAAATGTATGTATGTAATGTTGGTCTAGAGTAGACAAAGCATTAAAGTCATCAAGTGATGGCCAAACATTAAAAAAAATAAGTATCAACAGAAGGAAGTTCATTTGTAAGGGTGTTTTTTTTCACTTTTTGTCTCTCCTTTGGTGTCCATTACAACTACGTGCAAATGGCTAATTATGCAAATTAGGCGATGACGTCATTTAGCGACTTCTAGCTACTTTTAGGACAGCCAATAGCTACTTTCCTTACTATGGAGTTGGCAACAATGACTGGAGTAGGGGTGCATACCGGTACCCGGTATTACCGAAATACCGGTTACTGGCGGCTACGGTATACCGTACCGTAATCAGATCCGGTTTTCGATACTCTCATTTTTTTATTTTAAAGTGAGGCTTAATATCCTCACGGCCCGTCCACACAGCGGCGTGCGATGAAGCTTGCCGGCGGGGGGGCTGAAACTCGACCAACAACCAATCACATGAATCTCCCGCCCCGGACACACAAGCATGCGGTTTGATTGGCTAGAGCTTGTACTGGCATATGATTCGATTGGCTGACGCTTCCGCCGAAGCTTCAAAAGTTGAACATTGCTCAACTTTTGCAGCGAGCAACGCTTTTGAAGCTATGCTTCGCTCCCACAATGCAGTTCGGCGAAGCGTGACGTCACCCCATTCAAAGTGAATGGGCGTAAGCGTTGAAGCTTCAACGCACACCGCTGTGTGGACGGGCCGTTAAACTCGTACCTAAACCGTCAAAATTACGATGTCAATTTCGCCGTGAAACTCCGCAAACGAGTCACTGGAGTGTGGGCCACGCCATATTGTTGACATCCGCCAGCCAATCAGATCGCGCGTCTTGCAACGGCTTAGGTGATTGGATTGATTGCCAAGCAACGCCCTTCACCTTCCTCCCGAACGTCTGAGTTAGCTTCTGAGTTAACGGTTAGCTTTCGTTTTTACATTTGCTCGATGTCGGCACGAAAATCTAAAGTGTGGCTGCTAGGGATGGGTACCGAGCCCCGGTATTAAACGGGCCCCCGGGGCGGAATTATTAAAGACAGTGGTACCTTTTAAGCTCTGACGTTATCTGTCTTTTTATCGGTACTGGAGACATTTAAAAAATATATATCATATGTATTATTGCTACATAAACATTATATTGCAGTTTTAGTTTCGCCAACTCCGTTTCTAATATGCAATAAGAGTACAAAATGCGTCTATGATGTATTTTCGATCTTTCCAATCCAGACGAGAGATCTCTCCGTCTGTGTGTGAGGGGGCGGGGCAGTTTACACACACGTGGCTGCTACATGCATGCAACACACACACACACACGTCGGAGATGGCAGAGAGAACTAAGCGCTCCAAGGTGTGGTTAAACTTTACCCATCTCGATGTGGACAATGCTCGTTGCCAAAAGTGCAATATGAGTTTAGCATGTAAGGGCGGTAACACGAGAAATTTGTCTAAACAACACATTATGTCCCGTAATGTTCCACCACAACCTCAATCTTCCTCCAGAAGAACCGTTAGGCGATTTGCAGCATACCTGTATGCCCCACCTGTGTTGCTCTGTACCACTGTATTTTTGCAGTAAATACTTGTTTTTTTACAGTTCTGTAAGTTCACATTATATACAATTTGTTTAGTTGATTCACCTTTTTTTTTTTTTTCAAAGAACCGATAAGAGTACCGTTAAAGGACCGGATCGATAAGCGGTATCGATAAAAGTAGTAGTACTGTTCAAACCTTAACGTTACCCATCCCTAGTGGCTGCATATGACTGCCAGTCTGAATGGTGGGGTCTGTAACCACTGCAATAAGTTTATTTCTGGGAAAGGCGGCAACACATCCAACCTCTCAAAACATTTGCTACCGTCACATAAAATCAGAGTACAGGAATGTACAGTCTTCAAGCCCGTGTTGTCAAACGTGTTTTTCATTGTTTGTTCAGTAATAAAAGGTTGAAGTCCCACCATTGAATTTAATATTAATTTGACATGTTAACTATATCATAAAGCGCTTCATGGGAGTAATTGCGGGATGATTCAATTGTTCCCTTATGCAACATGAAAGTATCACGATATGTATCGGTCGAGTATCGTTTAGTGGTATCGGTATCGTAAAAAAGTCAACGATATGCAACCCTATACTGGAGAGAGTATGTGTAAAAAAGCAGGATATAAGAAGGTGCTCACCTTGTGGTAATAAACCCGCAAGAGAAAAAGCATTTGTGCTCCACACTGTTTCAGAAATAATCCTTGATGTGGTTTTGAACATGATATGGCATTTAATCACGGAAGCATTTAGCTGTATCTGGGTAGAATTCTCCTGATCAGATACTCAGCATAAGCTTCCCCCCTCCACCCTCTTTTTATTTTTTGTAAGCTTTAAGGCCGCTACACACCCACCTGAGACCAAAGAACGCGTACCGAAGGCGTCCCGACTTTTACGTCAGCTACGCCGCCCGCCTACGAACACACCGCAATTACTTCAGTTGACGAGTGGCAATAACTGTCCTTACCAGCAGGCAGCGGTAGTGTGAACAGCCAATCAGAGTGATTGCTTGGGCCGACTTTCTCTGACCTCCCGTGTGAAAAGTGCCGTAAAGATACGACGGTGCGGGACACACCAACCTGAGTAGGGCGACTGCCTCTGACGGCCTCTGACTCCCAAAATCGGGTTGGTGTGTAGCCAGCTTTAGACCCAGAATCAGCACTTCTCTAACAGGGCTGAAATAGAGGGGTATGAGGCATGGCTAGAATGGGTGATCTGTTTGGTATTTTTGATCAAAACACTTCATTGACATCGTTTTTATATAATTTTATATATCTGAGACCTATAATATATGCCTACAAATAGCATAATAGGAGACCTTTAAAACTGGATAAAATGTAATTTTATGACAGAGCTTCTGTCCAAGATCACACCCAACACATGCAAACTAAAGAAGCTTGAACTGGTGTTTTTACTTGTTATTGTTACCTCTCTGCAGGGCGTTCCGTTGAGAACCACGGAGTAATCCACAACATCTGGTTCAACACTACCACTCAGCAGAAGAAACAGTACTATGAGGCTCAGTTTGTTGATTCCTATTGGGACAACGGCAGTTTACCCATCTGGATAACAGCACAGAGACAGGTAATTTAGATCTGTTTTAGTTTATCTAATTTGGTACCTCAATGTATCTATAGTTTTGATTTTATGATGGGGTCACCAGAGTATATCCGTCTGAACTCAATTGTTTTTTATTCTTCCAGGGTCTAAAAGCAGGTTCTCTGCATTTCCCTGGAACAGCAGCCACCTACAGAGGGGAGTCTGTGGGGGTTAGTCAAGTGGAACCTTTTCTCTATGATCATTCAAATGAGACCGATTGGAGGCTGAACATTGACAAGGTGATTGGAGAATGGTTCCACCAACAGGATCTGGACTTTGTCTCCTTGTACTTTGGAGAACCAGATTTGATTGGGCACGAATTTGGACCAGATTCCCCAGAACGCCTTGAGATGATCCAGCAAGTAGACCGTACAGTGGGCTACATCCGGGACAAGGTCCAAGAACATGGCCTTACTGACCGGCTCAATATTATCATCACTGCCGACCACGGGATGACAACAATTCTACGGGATGGACAAGTTAATAAGATTATCCTCTCTAAAATCCCTGGCTTCAGTTTCAAGGATATCCAGTTCCAACTGTTGGATTATGGTCCTCTTGGGATGCTGCTTCCTAAAGAGGGGATGCTGGAGAAGGTCTACAAGGCTCTGAAAGGAAGTCACCCTCACCTTCATGTGTATAAAAAGGAGGAGATGCCAGCTAGACTGCACTACGGTAACCATCCTCGACTTCTGCCGATCATTCTCATCGCTGACCCTGGATATGTTGTCAATGGGGTGAGGAAATGCAGAATTGTGTACATTAGGCCTAAAACCCATAGGTCACTAACATGCTGCCTGCGTCTGGGTCCCTATCCGAATAGGGACCCAGACGCAGGCCTATACGGACCCGGAACTATAATCAATAAATTATTAAGGGATTTTTAATGTTGTCGGGGCGCTTCTATTTCAACCAACGCAGACGAAGAGACAAGTGAGCGGCAAACAGGGAGAGAAACACAGACAGAGAGACAAGTTAGCGATACAGGGAGAGAAACACAGACGGAGAGAAGAGTGAGCGATACAGGGAGAGAGAAATAAGTACACATTAATTAAAAGATAAAAGTGGACAGTGAAAACAGAGCTTTTTAGAGCAAACATACCCACTCAAGTCTGAACTGAGGTCACTGAAAATAAGCAGTCTCAGAGCCCGATATAATAAATTCACCAGGATCTTGACCCATTCATTCACTGCACAACAATGCGCTATGCGTCCCTCAGAGGACACAAAAACATTTACTCATGGAGGGGCTGTCAATGAGTGCATGAGTGCAGTAGCTGAAACCTTACTTGAGGGAAAACAAAAAGAAGAGCTTTGTGACAAAATAAAGCAAATACTTATGTCAGCATCATCAGCCACAAAGAAAAGTGAAATACTAACATGCAGACGTTGATACAGGTACTAGGCTACTTCAATATATATACACACCTATTCATAACGCAAGTTAGACATTATGATGTTTCGGACCTTTGCTTGAGGCAAATTTTCTCTGAATGGACCTCTTTCAATTTTTGTTGAATACCCCTGCTATATTAAGTGGGTCCAGAGTTCAACAGTGTATTTAATCTTTCTGTGCTATAAGGATTCAACTTTACTATTTGTTGTTAAAGAAAGTCAATGAAAGTTATTATATGACTGTTTCTCATGGAATGTCTGATTTCTCTGTCCATCTAGTTTTTACCTCTGCACGACGTCAAAGGAGACCACGGCTTTGATAATGAAGCTATGGAAATGAAAGCCTTGTTCAGGGTGGTGGGGCCTGACTTTCAGAAAAACAGGGTGGTAGATCCCATCGACCTGGTTGACGTGTACGCTCTGATGTGCCATCTACTGGGGGTAAACCCGGAGATCAATGATGGACACCTGGACAATACCAAACACATGCTGATTAACACAGGAGGAGACAACAGTAAGTGTATACATATATTCACTTATATAGATATATTAACATTTATGCAACTCTAAACATTAATATTTTTACTGTATCATTTCCTTAGTCCATTATCTAACTTGTGATAATTACTTTGACAAAAACCTCTCAACCCCAGGTCCACTCACTAGCTTCTTTCTAAGCTTTTACCTGCATTTCATGGTTTTTATCAGCAGATGGAGTTCTCATGAAGTGGGTTCAGCATAGAGAACTGGATACAGAGTCGGAGGCGGGGCTTCTTTCATTCCTATGAAAGTTACTCAGTGACGCAAAAAGCCCAAAACGTACCCGGAACATACGGGGCCTTTTGCTCATAGAGCATGCACACTTGAGTGTTCCCTTAATCCCCGCCTCTGATCTCCAACTCTCGGCTCAAGTGAAATTAATGGAGAGGGAAAGTGACTCTGGATTCAGCTTTTCGTGCTTTTAACAATACGTTAGAAACGTCTTTCACTTTATAGGGGCTATAAAAGTGTTTGTACTGGGAAGTTTATTTAGGTTCCTAGCACCTGGAACGCCGATCCGTGAAAATATTGTCTTACGTGAAACCGGTCCATGGTGCAAAGAATATTGGGGACCGCTGCGTTAGAACTCTAGACTCTAAGAAAACTAAGAGAAAGTTTTCCACTCAAAGAGACTAGAGTCACTTCATGTCATAGCACTATTTACTAGCATTCCCACCAGTTTCCGTTGAAAAAAAACAACTTGCCGGTCAACGTGACCAGTAACATTTCAATTTACCGGACAAATTTGAAATTATCAGATTTTATTATTAAGCTTGAAAACAATTTAAAAGAAGGCTTTATTAAGAATGACATCATCAAGGCATGTATATTTATATTTTATTGATGCACTGTAGTGCATTTGCTGTTGTATAACTAAACTATGTGACAATGTACTAGAGACGATTACAGGTAATATTCACAAAGTTTGGCCAAATAGATATAGTCTAAAAAAATATATATTATGTATTAACACATTCTATTAAGTGCTGACTAATAAATATATTCTTTGATTACGAAACCATAGCCTTATTTTATTACTGGGTGATATTTGGAGTTGCTGAGCATAACAATCTCTCAAAGCAGTACGGTACTGTAGCTTGCATTCAGTATAAGACCTTTTGGGAACATCTTTAAATTGTATTAGTCTATATGGTCTATGTGGCACATTAATGTAGGAACTATTTTATGTAGAGCAGCGGTTTTCAAAGTGTGAGGCGCACCTCCCCTGGGGGGCGCCAGAGAGCTTCAAGGGAGGCGCAGCGTGAGGAAAAAAAAGAACGAGAAAAAGACGAGTAAAGTGACACTTGCACACTTTTGGCTGTCTGTGGAGACCGAGTTCCCCCACCTCGCCAAAAAGGCTGTAAAAGTGCTCATTCCCTTCACCTCCACCTACCTGTGTGAGTGTGGGCAGCAAGTGCCGGTCAAGGCTGAAGCCAGAGGATGATCTGCGTTTATTCCTGTGTGCATCAAAGAAGCAGACTCATTGTTCCCACTAAAGTAGGGGTGAGTGTAATAAGGAGGCAAAGTTGACGTTCAGTGTGTTGCTGGGAGCATATAAGGATGTATCCACGATGTTGAAAATGTTAAAAAAACATGTGTTGAGAACACGGCGTGCGAAAATATACGGGTCGTGCTGCAGCTAGATTTGCCTGTCCTCTGTAAGAAGGTGTCGGCGACTGACATGCAAGGAAGAACGGCTGTCCACAGGCTGTTCCAACTTTAACAACTTTATTAACTTCCAGGGTAGTGAATTGAACATGCAATTGTAATCGGGTGTGTGGTATATTTTCATGCACGGACACGCATGTTCCACAACACACTTGAATGAACAACACTCAATTGTGCACGTTACTGATGCAATATTTGCAGGTCTCCCTTGAAAAAGAGATCGTTGATCTCAATGGGATTTTTCACTTGGTTAAATAAAGGCTACAAACAATATGGTTGAGACCATTCGGGCTTATTCTAGAGGGGTGCAAGGAATAGTCCAAGTAGTGGGGGAGTTTTATACAATATGTTTAAAACATAAAGATAAAAAGGTTTAAAAAAGTTATTGTTTAATGTTTTAAGGAGGTGACGCTACTCAGCCAATCAAATCGGTGCAGTCAGTGAGATAGATTCAAACACACAGAGACGAGACAAGAGGAGAGAAACAGTCGGAGAAGGAGTCATTTCAAATGGCGGAAGGTAGACAGTGAAAACAGAGCATTTAATGACATTTTCTCTTACTGGACCTCTTTCAAATGCAATTGAATACCCCTGCATTATAGCAACAACAACAACAATAATAATAATAGCAATAATAATTGGGAGGGGGGGCGCGGCTGTTCTTATGTTCTCTGAGGGGAGGCTCACCTTCCCACACTTTGAAAACCCCTGATGTAGAGGAACAACCATAGGCGGATTTTGCGGGGGGGCATTGCCCCCCCTCGTGGCTGAAATATGTTACAGCATTACTAAGTCTAAAACTGTACTCTTAATACAAATATTTCGTACATCAATATTTTAATAAGGTAGGACACTGGTTAATAATATTGTAGCGTGTTCAAGTAACCAAGGGATATAGTAGTTATCAAATAAGTATAAGAGCGCAAATGTCAAACTCCGCCTATGGGAACAACCCCAAAAAGTCCAATAGAAACATTTTCTATTGGACCAAAATCCAATTTGTCCAACAGTCCGTTACCCTGTCCATTGCTCCGAAGGCCCATTGCTCTGAAAATACACACAAACAGAAGCACAGGTTGAATTATTTTGCAGAATGGCGGCATGACCAACCTTAATCTTGCTTTTGATTGGTTTACTGATATTCTTACCCTTACCCAAAGACTTTCCCTTACCATAAACTCTCTCACTCCTCATGCGTAAGCCTTAACAATCAGACTATCAAAGGAAATACACTGAGTATTTTCAGACTATTCGAATAATGGACCATCGGAAAAATGTCCAATTCCTTATAGTTTGGCTACACTTTTATACAGTGGGAGGAAGGAACTAGAGACGTGTTGTGTATCTTTATATAGCAGCATGGTTTACAATATAGACTGTAAGATGCTCTGGAAAAGCTAGTAGGTGGACCCAGAGTCAAGATTTTTTTGTAAAACTTAAAAGATATATCAGGTGAAAATTCGGCTCCGATTATAAAAGTTTGTATATGTGATACATCTTTTTTTTAAATATATTTTCAGTTTTAGCAATAGTGAGTACCCAACACCTTGATCAAATCTTAATAAAAACATTTTAATCCTCACAAGGTTGACATTTACTGCAGCACTTCAACCCTGACATTACACAGGCTGTATTACATTATCTAAACAGCTGTAAAGTTCAATCTTATCAGTATCCACAAGGTTTATGCCCTTTCTAAGATTTCCAGACAATCAAGCAAGTGGGCAAAGGTAAAAAAAAAAAATGTGATTCCCTTTCTGTTTTTAGACTATTAGCTTTAATAGGCAATGTGCTGGCCCATATGCTGTATTGTGCCTCATATTCTTGTATGAATACATGTGTTCTGTCTGTTTGCAGATTCAGAGAAGAATAACCAAATGGAGGTGCTGATTGGCTTCTCAGCAGTGATTGGATTTCTTGTGCTTGTGTTCATCATAACTTTATCCTGCAACATGTGTAAAAGGAACCAAGGATAAATAATTATCTTTTGTTTCTTTAATTTCCAAAAAAGAAAATGGAGAAAATTAAGTTGAAAAAATGGTTTTAGCATTTTATTCTTATACAGATTGCGCTTGCAAATGGTGATAGAAACGGTCTTTATTCATTGGTTTATGTATGAGAGGATGGATGATTCAGGGGTTTCATTGTTGCTTCATAACAAAAACATAATTGTGTGATAATGTTTTTGGTAAAAAAATCTGGTAAAACTCAAACCAGATGATCATTTTTTATTCGTGATTGCTTAAACTCCAAATAAGTGTCAAAAAAACATTCTGCATATTCTAAGATGTCCAGGGGGTCCAGCACTTTAAATAAACATAGCATTCCTGTAAAAAAAAAAAGCAACTCATGCAGTCAGTCAGTATCTTTTGTAATATATTTCTTGAGCTTCATTTTTAAGATACAAATGTTGTGTGCGAAGGTTCTAAAATCTTAAAAACTTGCCAAAAGAGAGAAATAGGTGTACTTCACCACAAATTCAATATGCAATCAATAATAGTAGTAGTATTTTTGCAATCGCTCTTCAGTATGCAATGTATGACTACCATAAACATTTCAAAAACACGAGTTCAACGACTCCTCTCCATTTTTATTCCTGTCAGTCATAGCCAGCTATAATTGTGTGAAAGTTAAAGGAAAAGCTGGCAAAGGTAAAAAAAAGAAAAGAAGATTTAAAGTGTTAAGAGAAAATCACATTCAGTTTCACACATTCTTTATGTAACCGTTTTATGCACATTTGTGGGGAGAAATTAATGATGTGGGGCCTCATTTATAAACTTTGTGTAGGATTCACGTGAAAAGATGGCGTACGTAGGAACAAAGGAAGTACATACCAAGCCCAGGAAGTGCGCCGGAGGAAAATATTCGTAGTGGCCATACGGCGGTACTACAATTTCCGTATCAGTCCGTGACGTCACCCGGCCCAGAAATACTTTTTCCCATTGACTAACATGGGGAAAGAGACGTCTGTAATATATAACTTTTTTTTAAACTAAATAAACAACCCAGCACCAACACTTTAGCCGTTTCTCAAAGTCGAGGACGCTTCCTTGGTAGGACATGTCCTTCCAAGTCAGGTCCTTCCGAGGCTAGGCAAGAATCCTTCCTAGCATTCGGAGAACGAAGAATGGAACAGGCTAGCATGTGTCATATGCACGGAAACAACCCCAATGTAAAGTGAATGAGGCTACAACGTCCCGCAGTGAGCTTTCTACTCTATAAAAACGTTTTTAAAATCTACTTTATAGCTTGTAGTAACTCGCGGGAGGCTTCTTTTATTTAATTTGTATTCATAATTATTTTAATTTTTCGTCAGAATGTATTATGGTGAATTAGTTACGAATTTGTGTTCTCTAAAAACAGTGCATTGTGTGTAAGGGACTAGAGAGGGGACTTGAGACGGGACTTGAGTCGGAGAGACCCCCGACGGTGAAGGGACTTGAGTCGGCCAGACCGCCAACAGGACACGGGGGGCTGCCGTCGGTCGAAACGCCCGACAGGAGACAGGGGGCTGCCGTCGGCTGGAGAGCCAGTACTGGGGCCGGGACCATGGCTGCGTGGGCCGGAACTGGAGCCGGAACCATGGCTGCTTGAGCCGGAACTAGAGCCGGAACCACGGCTGCTGGGGCCAGAACTGGGGCTGAAACCATGGCTTCTGGGGCCGGAACCAAGGTTGCTTGAGCTCGGGCCGGTCGCTTGGGTGCTGGGGCTGTAGCCGATAGCTTGGCTGCTGGGGCACTGGGTTTGAGGCAGGCATGCAGAGTCTGGGGAATGTCTTAAACATTTCTTGCAGTGAGCTTACCAGCCAGGGCTTATCTGCCACCTCCCGGCATGCAAGGGAAAGAGCAGCCTTCTGAGTCTCTTTACAAGGAGCCCTCCTCCTCCTCCTCCAGAATGAAATCCCATGTACATAGGGTGACCAGATGTCCCGCTTTGCGCGGGACTGCACAGCATTTTCACGACTTTTGGTGCGTCCCGCAAATTGAGACGATGTCCCGCATATTTCATTTTGATTGGCTAAAACGCTTTTCTAAAATCAGATTTATCCAATGGCTGTTGAGAAAGCAGGGAAGGCTATCATCACGGAGCTGTGTTTGCTGTCAATCAAACTGTAAGACACGGCGGGTGCTGGTCAAGTGTTAACCAATGAGAGTAACTCACTCACACACACACCGCCGCAGCCCCGCCAAACAACAACAATGAAAGTCAATAACGCAGGCGACGCAGCAGGTTATGGAAAATGGAGGAAACTGAAACTACAGCTAAGAAAAGAAGAAGATGCACATACAACAAAGACTGGGAAGACATTTACCCGTGGGCAGTGGCGGACTGGGACTACAAATCAGCCCGGGACTCTCGACCGGCCCACCTCGGTACCGCAAATAATCACCGCTAGTACATTTTCAACGGGGGGGGGGGGGTGTTGAGAGGGTGTCCCACATTGTCCCACACAAACATACTCCTTGTCCCACATTTGGTTTGTTGGGACCTGGTCACCCTACATGTACATTATTTAAGCTTTTAAATGTTTTGTTGTGCCCACTGTGTCACTGTTGACAGAACTTGAGAAATGAGGAAAAAACACCTATGGATACACCTGTTATTTGTTCATAACATTTGTATATAGGTTCATGCTACCTCAATCAAACTTTCACATTATCATAGTGACATCCCATGTATGTATTTCCAGCTTTCAAATTGTTTCGTTGTTACCTTTATAAAAAATAATATCATTTTCAAAATCCGTTTTTTTGTGATTTTGGATCCAAAATGTTCATATATTATCTCAAAATGAAAAAAATAACTATCAGGTTATATAGGTGAGGTTGTCCTTAAAAAAAAGATACCAAACATTGACATGCCAAACATTTCTTAATGGGGTTTAGTAAGACAAATCAAAAGTATGCGAAAACGGCCAAATTAGCCCAAAAGGTTAAAGACCTGCTTAAACTAAATATCCAAATTTATTTATATTAAAGATTTGACTTAAAGGTAGGGTAGGTAAGTTTGAGAAACCGGCTCGAGATACACTTTTTGTTATATTCCATGGAATGCTCTTAACATCCCGATAGCAATGAATATCTTAAGTGCTTTGACAAAAAATCCATAAAAAAATGTCATCTGTGGAAGCCGTAATACTGTAAAACGCACGACCAATCATTTTAGCCGGCCCGGCTAAAATAACTGGATGGCCTACCTGCCTCTCAGCCTTCCATCTGTGCACAAACTTATCTCGTGCCCTCATTGGTCATGTGCGCGTTCGTGTGTGTTGGAGGAGGGGCTCTATAAGGAAGTGGCAGATTTTCTCCGGTTGTGTATTTTCAAATTCTAGCGATCTCGAGCCGGTTTCTCAAACTTACCTACCTTTTAAGGACCAAAGTGCCTGTTTATGTTTAGCTGGCAATTGTGTTTGTTAACTATATTACATAACTCAGCTTCATCTGTCTGAGGTAATCATCATATATATATTACACTGTGAAAAACAATGCGCTGAATGAATGTTACATTTGAGGCTTTGCAGACATACAATACGTTGCCAAACATACTGTATGTATTTGAAAATGGTATATAAAATGTAAAATAACATGATTTAAAGATACATTTTAAATGAATCAAAGGCTATTGTTTGCCATGCTTGAAATATCAGGAATTATATGCTAATGACATAAAAATAGATCTCTACATACCTTCATGTCATTGAACAAAGTAAAATGTTCACTGTAATGTTGACGTAGGGCTGGATCCAATCCTTTATGTTTCCACAGATATATTCTGTTGGAGAGAACAGTCCCACTCTGCAGGTTTCTCTCCAAGTCCTGTAAAAATATATGTTTATTTAGATGTAGATAAAGTTGTAACCAGCCCAGACCACATGCATGAATATTGAGTACCATTTAGGTGACTCTTTGTAAAGTCCACTATGGAGCCAATTTTTGATACAGATGAAGCGTCTTATTTTGGACGGTTTAAAGTGCGAGGGTCGTGATCGGTTCATGCACGTTCCGTGATGGCCGGCCGGCCCCCAGTCAGACTTGATACCGCCCCCATGATAAATACATTTAATTATTGTGAAGCCAGCTGCAATGGATCATTGATCCACCAGGGGGTGCAGTGGGGTTCCACACTGGAGTCATGTGAAATCAACTTCTAAATAATAGATGTTGTTTAGTCGGAAAAAACGAACGAGCCGGCTCTCCCGATTTTTAATCCTAATTTAATCATCATCATTGATGTTTATGTTCACCGAATTGACATGAAATCACTGACAAATATGAATATTCTGTATTCAACTTCATTGAAACAATCAGGATGGGTGTTATTTTTCCCCACAATGACCAAGTCGCTGCAAATGATCCCATGTATTACATGTACATGGCCAAATTCTCAACAAAGTTACGTAACGAAACATTCTGTATTCCTTGCTTACTTTTTATTTAATGCTTTATAACAGCTGGAATAGTTCGTTTAGAACAGGCACCTCACTCGCAATCTGCTCCTCCGCAACGCCTACCACCTACCTCCGGCTGAAATTATGAATGTACAGTAAGGCATAGTAATCATAGATAACACGGCAGGGTCCGTTACAGTTTGTTTTCATCTGATTTCAAATATTTCAAATGTCTGAAGTTAATAAATACATTCTCAGTGTTCAAGTCAATAATAGTCATATAAGAAAAGTACTGATCTAATAACAGAGATTTTATAAGGACTTTTCAATGTTCGACATCGCTCATGTGAAATACAGTAAACTGGATGTTGTGGTGCCGAGAGGCGGGGTATCAAAAGTACAAGCTAAACTTTTATTTAGCATCTGAATGATCTGAACACACTTGTAAACAACGTGATGCCCGGGAAGCGAAGACCCGGCGGAAACAGCTGGTCTGGTTCACTAAAATGTCCGTGTACAGTATATCTGGTACTAATGTATAGCGGATCTTTGTTAAGATCCATATGTCACGGATAGATATTATATATAGAGATGGGATGGCAGAAGGTGCTATATATATATATATAATTCCAAAGCTGGTAAAGACCTTTCAAATGTAGCAATAATAGTCATATAAGAAAAGTACTGATTTGTTCTTGAATATTATAATAAAATAAACACCGGCTGTTGTTATGCCTGCTGTAACGTTTACTTTCTCCGTTCTCCGCTTAAGTAATTATTACTTCCTGGTTAGCTTTCCGCTCGAAATTTAAATCTGAAAATGGCAAAATAACGGAGAAAAAAACGTTCACAGAGAAGACGACAACAATTGTCACTTGCACTTGTCATTTAGCATCTGAACACACTTGTAAACAACGTGATGCCCGGGAAGCGAAGACCCGGCGGAAACAGCTGGTCTGGTTCACTAAAATGTCCGTGTACAGTATATCTGGTACTAATGTATAGCGGATCTTTGTTAAGATCCATATGTCAGTAGAGATGGGATGGCAGAAGGTGCTATATATATATATATATATATATATATATATATATATAATTCCAAAGCTGGTAAAGACCTTTCAAATTTAGCAATAATAGTCATATAAGAAAAGTACTGATTTGTTCTTGAAT